TTTGGAAGTCTATATCGGTGCGAGCAGTTATTTACACTCATGAAAGGGAATAAATCTCCAGTCAGATCCAGACTGACTGACAAACACCTTGGATCAGTTTTAAAGGTGATTACCGCAATAAGTTTCTCCAGAAATAGAAAAATTGGTAGCGGAAAAGAGATGTTAAGTCTCGGGAAGAGAAAATTAATTTTATATATGTACTTACTGACTTATACTTATAGATTAGATATAAGCAGCTTATAAAAATAAACTGATTTTCTGATATTTTTTAAAAAATGTTTTAAGTTTTTTAGAATAAAATATTTTAAAATACATTTTGGGTGAATTTTTGATTAAATTTGGACAAGGCTTCAAAAATGTATCAATTGCGTCGTATTGCCTACAGCGTTTTTGCCTGGTTGCGGCCCACATAAACATAAATTTTATTTATTCAGCTCAAATTACTTTTTCAGTTTGACATGCTTGCAATACATCATCACCTAACCATACTTACTTATGAAAAGATACTTCAGCACCCACATTTTCCAGTTTTTTGCTCAAAATGCACTCGCGAACCATGTTGTTAGCTATACACAAGCCGAAATTTTTCCAAAAAAGTCTAAAGATTAACAAAAACACCCAATATGCAACAATTTACTGGATCGCAACGTCGCAAACTATCGATGGATAAAATACTATACGTGACGTCCGTGACGTATAGTATGAATGAAACAAAGTTATTTTAAATTGCGGGGCTGTCACGTTTAACGCTTTTAAAATCCTTGCATTTATTTGCAGGAATAATAATGGTGTTTGCCATAGTTTATCTTAGTATTATTTGCAAAGATGTTATTTATCAAGCGTATGTATGTAAAAACGATAGGTACAAAAATGCTCTGCCTAATGGTGTAAAAATAGGTGCTGCTAAAATATCAAGTCTGCTGAAAGCAGTTAACTAGATAATCTACTTTGTACACATTTTATACGTATCTTGTTTTGTAACAAGTGATTTTATTTAGAGATTTACTATTAGAAATGTTTCGGGAAATATTGCAACATCTCGGCCCATAATACGTCGGAGTTGGAAACACTACACTAGGTATGAAAATGAATTGGTGGGAACGCTTGATGTGTCGCAATATATCTCGAAACTATTCTAATTAATAAAACTTGTTCCTATTAGTGAGTTATAGGTAAAACCTATTTTTAAATATGAAAGGGATAAACTACACAGTCTGACAACAGCGCACAAGGAAACGAAATAGCTACGCGCTACGATTCTTTGTAATGTTTTAAATGTAAATAGAAGAGCTTCGATGGAAATAACTTAATAACAATATTTTTGTAGTAAGTAGTATGTTTGTATATAGATAATAAGGAATGCTATTCATTTTCTATGATTATGATATTTAGTGTAAATCATATAAGTAGGAAATGAGCATTCCTTGCGAGTTATTTTTCTATGATTATAACTCTCTGCTGCACATTTTTAATTTGATATTATTATTTACAAAACTACAATAACAGTTCAGCATTGGGATTCTCATCTTTTAATACGGCACGTGTTGAGACGCCTATCTTCGTTCCACAGAATGCGATTCTTATGTTATGTCTCTCTATTTGATTCGTTACGTGTTGAGTTCGCACATAAGAATCCCTGTCCTGGTCTAAACAACTATTTAATGTTTGACATTTCATGGCACACATGATTTTATTAAAATAATTAGTGAACGACTAATTTTGTGTTATAATATGGAAATGATTAGTTTGTGGTATGATAATTATCAAATATGGAAATATTTATTATTCAACAATAGTTGAGAAAGTGTAGTTTTGTATTATAGCCAATTATATTATAGAAACTGCTGAGGTGCCCAGATTTTCCTAGAATCCCACCAGCCGACAGCTCAAGTTTCTGGTTATCAACAAACATGTGTTTAATAGTAATTTATTTTTATAATGTAGTCTAATGTTGGCATTCATAAAATAAAGACATTATATTCTGTTTGACTAAAAAATATTTTTTTAACAATTTTTCAAATCGTATTGTTACGCAGGTTTTTGCTATCTCAATTTATTTTAACTCAACTTTTACAATAACTATACAACTGATAACATTAACATATAACGTCAATTATAAAAGTGATTACTGACGTCAGCATCATGGACTTATATAGCTTGCTTTCACCTTTTCGAATATTCTCGAACTGTCCAGATTTTGACGTGGAATGACATTTCTCGAATATTCCCCCTTCTTCTTTTACTCGTGCCTTTACTAATAAGCAACACGCTGCAGGGTGCTGCGTAACATCAATCCATACCTGGCTACGCCGACCGGCATAGACTCCAACGGCCTGGACACAGCTGAAATTGAATTGAAAACGTAACTTTTTCACATAATTTCTTGCGATTGCGCATACCAGTCCATAAATATGCAACAAGAAAACATCAACCCATACCTGGCTTCGCCGACCGGCATAGACTTCAACGGCCTGGACACAGCTCAAATTGAATAATTAAAATGAAAAGTCTCAAACACATTTATATTCTGGTTTTATCATCTGGCCTGGAGCTATTGAAAAAACAGCCACTGTCATTCCTGTTATGTACGTTCTTTTACTATGTTTATAGAAATAAAAATATCAGTTGTCATATTATTCATAAACAAAAATAATATAGAACGGTATTAATTAACATGAAAATATTTATTTAGAACAAATAACAAAAAGCAATTGGCAAACTCGCTAAAATCACGCACAGGCGCACTTAGTGTGACTGTCAAATCAAAAAAATTAAAAACAATCATTTGAAGGTCAATGCTGGGTTCATTTGTAGAGCACAAGAAATAGACGCTTCTTTGATCAAGTCGTTGATTTTCTTGACGACGGAGTAGGGGCCTTCCGGGTTCCGTTGCAGTCCTTTTCGGCGCTTGTGATTGTACAGGCATACTGGATCGCCTCTCTCAAAATGTGTCCCAGTGGCTTGCATGTCGATTCGATTTTGCTTTATCGCTATTAACTTTCAAACGTTGAAGGTGGAAGGTGTACAGCCCTCTTATTCACCAGAAGGCTGCCTTCCAAAAAGAAAATCATGGGGAAGTTTCATCTGCCTTCCAGTAATCATCATGGATGGAGTACGACTGGTCGTTTCATGTTCAGAACTTCGGTGGGCTAGCAGAAATAGAGGAATTAAAGTGTCCCATTCCTTTTAATTATCAGAGACGAACATTGAAAGATACTGACATATCGTTCTATTGTGTCTTTCCACCATTTCGTCAGACTGTGAGTGGGGAGGCGCAGTGCGTGTTTTTCTGTTGCCTAACAGTTTCATCAATTCTTGTCATAATTCGGATTCAAAATTTGGTCCTTGGTCAGAATGCAAGTTTAGGGGGACTCCGTGTCTCGCAATGACGTTCGTTAAAAATGCTTCTGCTAGTCGTCGCTTCCTGAGTAGGAATATGCGCCATTTCGGGCTACTTTGAAAAATAGTCCATAACGACCATCAAGTATTTGTTTCTCCTTTCTGTTAAGGGAAGCGGTCCGAGGATATCTATGGCGATTCGTTCGAAAGGCTCTCCGAAAAGGTACTGTGCCATTTCACCTTGACTTCTTGTTTTGGGCCCTTTTCTGCCATTAGAAAGGTCACACCAGTCTTCTACATCCCCTCGGCAATTGGCCCAATAAAATCTTTCCCGAACTCGTGCAAGTGTCCTTTTAGTACCAAAATGTCCTTCTGAACGGCTGCTTAAGAAGCTCCTCCAACACACTTCTGACCTGTGATTTCGGCAGTATAACTTGGCGGACTACATGTACTCCACCGGGGCTCTCCTACTTCCGATTCAACAGGCCATCGTGAAGATACAGTAAATCCCAATGAGTCCAGTACCCTTTAATAGCTCCACTGTATTTGGCTATCTCTTGCCAAGTAGGTGTAACTTTATTTTTAAGCCATTCTCGGAAAACATTCAAGTTATTGTCTTTCTTCTTTCCCTTTCCCAGGCTTTCAAAAGTTATGAAGCACGAAAGAAATGGATATAATTCAAAAACACCCTGTAACTCGGTTATAAAGGTCGCAAGACCCATACAATATGGGTATTTGGGGAATCTGTGGGTGACCTCTATATAGGTTTAAAATATTTCCCTTTCCCAAGGAAACACACTGTATATCTTTGTGTTTGTACGCGTATTTCGAAAGAGACGTAAAACGTTACCGAGTCTAACGATGTTGGGCTCATTAAATATTCCTATCTCTTTCTGGAACATCAGAGAAATAGCCAAAGGGTATAGCGTTGGTGATTTAACCTCGCAATTAGAATAAATAGGCGGTCGATGAATAAAAAGAATAAAAAAATGTTTCACATTTATTTCTTTTTTTTTTTTGTTTATAATACATAAAATTAAAATCAATGATTAATTTTGCAAAATATCTCCATTATTAACACCAATTTGAGCTTAATGGAAACAAATTGAAATTATCCAACTAAATTGTATTTATAATTGAATGACGCACAGCTTATTGATTTGATATTTAATGAACCTTTTTAATAGAATGTATTTAGATTAAGATGTACAAAGTAATAAGCTAGTCGTATAGTTAAAGCAGTAAGTACAATAAAATTGTTCAATTTATTACCCAGCAGTAAAGTAATAAATTTCTGTTAATATACTAAACGATTCGGTGGTTTTGGAAAATTAAAACCAGTAAATTATTTAATGCTGAGATAACTAAATCGGAATAGTTACCACTAAAAATTTTATATATTCTAAGCATAGAGCTGGGAAATATATTAAGTACTACTTTAAGCTCTTCGAAACGAAACCAAATCGTTAATTTGGAAGCATTAAATTCAGTTCGCCCTTTGTAAAGTAAAATTGATCACATGACCTAATAAAATGTACAAGGGGAGAAGGGTTTATTCTCTAAAATTTATATTCATTAGAATATCATTAAAAATTTAATTTTATATGTGTTAAAATATTAATTATTTTAGGTATTTTAAACATGTTTATTTCTTGTTACAGGAGTTTCGCACCTTACAAGGATATTAGAAGATGATAGTAGTGAACATATAGCAGTTGACGAGGTGAGTAGTAGTTATGACGACAAATCATTTTATTAGCTATTTGAATAAAATATCCATACCCATACAATAATATACAACAGAAAAAAATATAAGGCTAACAAAATTATGTATGCAAACTGAAACATATTTTCTTTCATTTGTGAAGTTTATAGTCATCAATTGTCAATGTTTCTATTGTTTATACATTTAAATATCTGGTTATATTTTCTGTTGATTATTATTTTATATGGAAACGTTTCGAAAAGAAAAAACTAGCAAGTGATATAATAGAAAGAATATAACCAAAATACACTAATGGAAATCAAGCACATCCAACAAGCTATAGAGGATGCGAAGTCGCAAAAGTGATACAATATATAAGAGACCTGGTAAGCAAAATTAACCAGAATAGAAATAATACCTAAACCTATGGTACCATCATCGACAATGCCCAAAAAATGGCATATTTGACCTACTCAAATGTGTCTTGTTATCTCCTAAATTCCCCGTAAAACGCAATACCCGTTCAGATCCAATAGTTGCCATTAAACTCAACTTACAAAGGCATTTTCCAACTTTTGAAAATCTACAAGTAACGCAAATAGTCTACACTGTCTGACAACAGCCCTCGCTCTGAGTGAAAAAAGGCGTGGTCCGTTTAGTATCAAGATTTAAAGTATTTAAATATCGACTTAAGATCGACTTTAATACCAGCTATATATGTTTCCTTGTCCCCAACTTAAATCGATCAATCAATAAGAACGAAATGAGAAAACGAAAACTGCTTCATATACCATTTAATAAGTTGTCAAACCTTAAACCCTCTAGTGTAAATTAACAAAGTACTAAACACAGCCACAGTAACAACATTAAATATATAAAAATCTGATGTGTCCAACACATGACTTTCCTGTCTAGTTATTATAGGCTTTTTCCGGTTATTTTGTACAACCTATTGCAGCATCTCTATAAACGTTTAGAGGATATGCTAAATATATACATTGTCCACATACATCTATCTACCTCGAAACATTTTTCTATAGATATTCATTGAAAACAAAAATACTGAAAAATTTAAATTTAGCACTTATCCATTACGGTCCATTTTAGAAAAATCATATATAAACAAAAATTATAGAGATCCATATCGCAAACAACTTTTAGTTCAACAATTTTCATAAAAATCAGAATTTTGCACATTTTGTAAAATTTCTCGAATACGGACCATTTCAGGAAATTTTGACATAAAACAAAAATTACAGATAATAATATTAGAAGTAACTTTTATTTGAACAATTTTCTTCTCCAAACATAAATAACAGATATATTCCATAAAATATCAAAACGGCCTCCCATAAAGTACCCCCCCAGATGTTCCGACTTTTTCCAAAATCTAATCATTGCACGTCAGGCCGAAATAAATTTTAAGTTTAAAATTTAATGTTTTTTTCTTTATCAGTTTTTGAGTGTTCTTCAAAATTCGAAATTTACACATTTTCTCAAATATCTCGAATACGGTCCATTTTAGAGAAATTATGTATAGAATAAAAATTATAGAGAATTAATTATATTACAAACAACTTTTATTTAAATAATTTTTATAAAAAATTATTTTTTTTACATTTTGTCAAATTTCTCGAATTTTAGGAAAATTTTGTATAAAACAAAAATTATAGATAATTATATAAGAAGTAACTTTTATTTGAAGAATTTTCTTCTCCAAACGTAAATAACAGATATATTCCATAAAATATAAAAATGACCACCTATAAAGTACCCCCCCAGATGTTCCGACTCTGCCCAAAATCTAATCAGTTCATTAGACGCTAGAATAAAGCTTAAGTTTAAAATTTGGTGTTTTTCTGTGTATCGGTTCATGAGTTATGCGACATACAGACACACAGACACACACACACACACACACAGACATCATCGCGAAAATAGTCAAAACGGATTTAGGGGACCTCAAAACGTAAAAATCCGTCGATAACTCGAGGTCGAAAAAATCATGATTCCTATACTTTCCTTATATCTGTATACAGATAGGGAAGTAAAAAGTAAACACATCCATCTATGTGTCATATATTACACCCGTAGGATAACGCCAGAGGTGCAAGCGCTGCAATAATAAAAGAAAATATTGACCATTATGACAAGAACAAAATAGGAACAGAAGAAATACAGGTAACATACAGATTCACAGTCGAAGTAGTATATATGCCTCGACGGCAGAGAACTTACAACAAATGCGAGAAAGGTTCACCTTAGGAGATGATACTATTGAAAATAAAAATTGGGTATTATAGACTAGTTATTGTATCCTTTCGATATTGTTGCCCTACGCCTTTGGTAGGGTTGCCACGATTTAGGCGTATTTTTTACGCTTTTTGGCTTGCTCAACGCCATAGTACGAAAATGTCTTGCTTTTGAGAAAAATGGCACTCTTTTTACGCAAATGCCAAGCTTTTAATATTTAAAGCCGTAAATAAAAAAGAGGAACAACTAGATTTATAGAAAAATACAACGTGAAGCCTTTTTTTATATAAATATCGACATACAAGAAGACCTGTTTTTTTAGAAATTTCACAAATAATAGACCTCATTATACAGGGTGGCTACTTTTTATATTGAACATAATTGCTATGTCGAAAACCGTAAGAGTTACAAAGTCGGTTAAATGGAAAAAAAGTTGTACTACTGCAAGACTAATTTAGTGATGTTTTAAAATCGAAAACATCAGGACCAGTTTCCAAGAGAGTTAAGGAAAACTCTATTTTCGATTGTGTTGCCTTTATTTTACAAATTAAAGAAAAATTGTAATTAGATTTTTAATTTGGTATTAAGCAGCGCTTAATTTACCGTAGACAGATGTTTCATTTCTGGAGGGCCACCATCAAGTATATTTTTTTGAATGCGGACCTATATTTTTTACTCTATTTTAAAAAGGTACTTTTAGTAGTTTAGGACGTTTTGATACTTTATATTATTGCTATTGTAAGGTCACTATAAATTTTATTGTTTTAATACAGACCTGTATTTTTTATTATGCTTTTTTACTTAGATTACTACAGAAATTTAAGAGCAATCGTACCTGAGCCATACCTGTTGTGTTAAAGAGGACTGGCGGTTAATAAGGAGTATTTTTTTTTCTATTTAACATACATCAAGGTAGTTTTGTCTGTCCAAAGAATATTATTGTAGACTAGTCTATCACTATTTAGGCTAGTAACAAATATTCTAGAGTGATCTAATAATATTTATACAACAAATAAATTTACAAAAATTGCTCAAAATGGCCACCATTGTTTTCAGAATAAAGTCGTGTTCTTTTACGTGTTTCGCTGCCTTGGCAATCATGTGTGGATTACTTTCGTTGAATGCTTGATTAACTTTTTCTCGTAATTAAATGATATTTTCAGATTCATTATAGTACACTAAATTTTTTAGGTATCCCCAAACAAAATAATCCATTAGATTTAAGTAAGGCGAGCGTGGTGGCCAACTTATAGGGCCTTTTGTTTCAATCTGTTGGCATTATGGGCTCCACAACCATCTTGCATGAACCACATTTTTCTTCGAAGCAGTAATGGCATTTCGTCTAATATTTCTTCTAATATATTCATATAATTTTGAGCATTTAAATTTCCTTGTAAAAACTTGGGTAAAATAAGAACGCCGCCAGTTATGAAACACCATAAATTTAATGAAAATCGTACCTGAGGCCGTACCTGCTGTGATAAATGAGGGTTGGTGTTCGAGTAGTAGTGCTTATTTTTTCTGTTAAATATTCCACAATTTGTAAATGTTGTTTCATCTGTCTTTAGTATATTTTTGTAGAATGATTTTTTATTATTCAATTTTCGTCGAAATCAGTTACAGAAAGTTAACCTACGGACAGGATCTTCTCTGTGTAATTTTTGTACTGTGTGGTATTTGTAATCGTGATATTTATATTTTTTAAATATTTTTTTGACGCTTACTTTCGATATCCCGCATTGTTTTGCAATGTCCTTTGTTGAATATTCGGGGCGTATGCCTAAAGTGCTAGATCAACATTTCTGTCATGTTTAATAAAAATATCGTACATGTCTTTTTTCTTCTGCAGAGTAACGGACCATGACGAGAAATTTATTAATTAATGACATTTATAACATTTAATAAGCATTTGTTTTCAAGATTGGATGCAAATATAAAAAAATGTAATTATACATTCAAAAAAATAGAAAACATTTTAAAAAAATTTTGTAAAATTGCTTATCGTTCCTTTATTTTCTATTTTATACTGTAGAAAGATGAAATTACCTAGACAAATTCTGGATTGTTAAATAGAAAAAATACTCCTCATTAACCGCCATCCCTCTTTAACACAACAGGTATAGCTCAGGTACGAATCCTATTAAATTTTTGGTAAAGAAAGCAGATGTAACGAAACTGCCATTAATTTAAAAATAATTTTATGAATGTAGTTTTGGTAGTAATCTTAATAAAATGCATAATAAAAAATACAAATTTATAGTGACCTTGCAATAGGAATAATAAAAAGTATCAAAACGTTCTAAACTACTAATGTGTATTACACAGTTGAATTTATGATTAAATGTACTTTTATAAAATATAATAAAAATGCAGGTCCGTATTCAAAAAAATATACTTGATGGTGGCACTCCAGAAACGAAACGTAGAATAAAAAAATCTGTCTACGGTAAATGTAGCGCTACTTAATACCAAATATACACCATACAAAAAAAAACGGAGTCCCACAATAGATCTAAAAAGGTCGCGGTGGACAAGGACAAATAACGTACAACTCCTAATCTAATCTAATACCAAATAAAAAATCTAATTACATTTTTTTCTAATTTGTAAAATAAAGGCAATACAATCGAAAATAGTCATTTGGTTTTCTTTAAATATCTTGGAAACCGGTCCTGATGTTCTCGGTTTTAAAACATCACTAAATTAGTCTTGCAAAAGTACAACTTTTTTCCCTTTTAACCGACTTTGTAACTTACGGTTTTCGA